TGCATTACAACGGAGAAGAAACATCTGTTGAAAGAATTACCAATGATGTCCTCCAAATTATATTGCACAAGAATAAATGTGACTGAATCATATGTTACAGTAAACCAGAAGTTTACTAGTACATTTATGGTTTGGCATGAAAGACTAGAGCATCTTTGTTCAGTCATGATGAGAAAAATTATGTGGAATGCTAATGATAAGAATGAGAAAATTTTGCAATCAAGTGTAATGCATGTTCTCAAGGCAAATTCATAACTCAACCATCTCCAGCCAAAATTAGAAATGTATCACCAAAAGTTTTTGAAGGAATACATAGTGATATATATGGGCCGATCCACCCACAGTGCGGGTGATATACACCATATTTATACCATTTAGCATACATTTAGCACTAGTTTTAGTCTTTAAGCATGCATTTTTACTTGTTCTTGTCCCGTTTCCATCCATTTAGAACCTAGAGTAAGTTTAAAGTTGCATTGCTTATTTGGTGCATTTGGAGTATTTGGCAGGTACATTTGAGGTGTTTGGAAGCTAAATGAGCTCTTTAAAGATCAAGGGGTCAAGACAAGACAAAACAAAGAAGAATCAGAGAGTTATGAGTCATTTCGAGCTGCACACCGGGCATGCCAGCCTGGTACAAACCACCTCCAAAACACATTACTGAAGATCAGCTCGAATGAACGGCTTCTCCTCATATTGTAAAGCGCTGCTGGACTGTTGTTGGATAAACACATCTTAAGAAACCTTTCATCTGCACCATAACAAATATTCAAATGTCCTTGAAACTTGGACAGTTCAACTGCCTTGTAAACAGATGCACTTTCTGAGTTTCTGAGAAAAGGCTTACACGCCTTCTTCGCATTGAATAGGTCAATAAACGAGTTAGCACTTACACGACACATAATTTTCTGGACTATGTCGTCCGGAAGAGAGTTGATAACCATCAATGTGTGTTCAGATTTCTACGTTGACAATTTGAAAACTCTCGTATATGGTTTGAGAATAGTAAATATTGTCAATCACTCATATATACACAAGGTGGAGAATGTTTGCTATTTTATATAATTAATAAAAGCAACATTTAGTAAATAACCCAAATTGAGATTTTTTTTTACTATTTTGGTTGGTCAACAATTTAATATATTGATATACGACAGATATACATTTTGGTCAATAATTTTTAATATATTGATATACGATAGAGTCATAGAGATATATTTTGGTCAGCAATTTTTTATATATTGGTATACATTTTATAGATATAATTTGCAATTTTAATATGTTAATGTAAGTTAGGGATATTTTTGGTCAATATTTATTTTTACAGTATTCAATAAATGTTAAAACCATAGGTCGTTGGCATTTAACATATTGGTATACACCAAATATTTTTTCCTTTGTTTTCTTAAATCAGATTTATTTATCTGCAACACTACTTTCAGAAGAATATATCAAGAGAGAAAGCAATTTTTTATGGTGATCAATAATATTTTTAATCATGGGTTATTGGCATTTAATATATTGATATATGCCAAATATTATTTTCCCAACACAAATTTTTTTTTTTGTAAAATGATAAATTTTATATTAATTTTGATTTTAGATAGCATTACAAGGATACAACAAAGAGAAACAGAACGGCCGAAAATTACAAATAACTAAACGAAAATGACAGAGTACGGTTACGAAACTGTTAGAGAAAATCAATATTAACTAAATAAAACCAGACGAAACAGCAATCAAATGCCTTGCCAAAGTGCAGACCATCGCATTTATGCCACAATTCAAAAAAAAAAAAATTAGAGTTCCTATCTTTATTGCCACGAGCATCCTCGTGAGGCAAGCTCTCAAACCTCAAAGAAAGAGATGCCTACAGCTTCTCCGAGAACTGACGCGATCTCCGATTCCACCAAACCAACCACTTGCAACAGGGGACATAGGAGCCTGAGCAATAGAATAAGCGCCTCCGACCATCAATCCTGAGAATGCCAAAACAAACGCAAGAACCAACTCCCACAGAAACAAGATAATCGTATAGACAAAACCGCCACCTCTATTTAACGTCTGAAATCACTCATCTTTACCACCGAACCATTGTCGCAGCCAACCTAACCAAAGCCAATACACGACCATGCAAAATTTTGGATCTGGCCAGGGAAACAAAACAAACACCTGTGGGAAACTAAGGCCACACAAATGGCCAATATGTCGTCGGAACCGTCCATCAACGCAGAGGAGAGCATCCGTCCAGCCACACACCTAAAGCCACCGCAAAGAGATGCCGCCTATAGAGCCACTCAAGCCAAGAGAAGGCGATAGCCACCACTCTGAGGCTAGCCACTAGATACAAGCCTAAAACACTAATTGACGTTGAATGAACTTGTCCTGTAGGAACAAATCACCACCGCTAGGAGTTTAAGAACTCAAATCTACAAACGCCGTCCATAGTTTTGTTTTTTTTTAATCAGATTTATTTATCTGCAATGCCACTTTTAAAAGAATATAACAAGAGTCAGAAAAAAAGATAATAAAATTGTTATATATCATAATTCTTCCATCTATCTTCATCGATTATTGTATATGGACATTTTCTTTTCCAAGTCAGCATTCACTAACAAATAACAGTGAATACACTTACTAGCAATAAATATGTCTTTTTCTCGTCATCTTTAACACTGCAGCTCATTTTGGGCAGATTACCAGTGTTGCCAATGTTGATAAAAAAAAAACAGCGACAATTAGAATGGTTGCAGTAACTACCCTTATGAGTCCTTCCAACTTACTCTCCACATATTTGCATCTCAAGATTCCGGCTGTTGTAACGATTCACTCCCGAACATAGCTTATATAAAATTTATATACTTTTGTAAACTGCTATTAGATTTCATTATAGAGTTTTATAACAACTATTGCTGATTTAATATTAGCAATAGATCGTCTCTCTTCTTATCTCTCTGTTCAAATCATTAAAACTCATTCTCTTAATCCCCAGTGGTGCGCAAACCCCCATTTCGTGAGCGCACAAAGCCTTGCCACATGTTGTCCCTGTTTGCGGATGGAAGTGTATGCCAAAAGCGAAAAAAACACCTTATCCGACCCTATAAAGTCAATATTTGTAGAGAAAGAATGTAACCCGATTAGAGGGGGAGCCAGAGGTACATGAAAGGTCACATATAGCAGAAATAATTATCCAGTTGAACAAACAGGCCGCCAAGAAAAGCAATGGTATAACCAGTAACATCCAATCCTTTTTCTTGCATTACCCTTCTAGGGATATATTTTGTGTGCATTCTCCTTAGGTTTCTTGTTTCTTTACTTGCTTGCTTGCATTATCCATTCGAGGACATATTTTTTATTCATTCCCCTCGAGGTTCTTGCTTTGCTTTCTTGCTTGCATTATCATTCTGGGGACATATCTTTTGTTCATTTCTTATGGGGTTCTTGTTTATTTGCTTGCTTTCTTGCATTACTCTTCAGGAGACATATTTTGTGTGCATTCCTTTTGCGATTTTTGTTTCTTTGATTGATTGCTTGCAATATCCTTCAAGAGACATATTTCATGTGTATTCTCCTTGTGGTTCTTGTTTCTGTACTTGCTTGCTTTCATTATCCTTCCAGTGACTATTTCGTTTACTAACTTTTAAAGCTCATACGCTCCTGCCTTGTCATCATTGCATTAACATTCAAAGATATCTTTCTACCGTTGCATATATCATTTGCCTTGCAGGAAGGTTTCTTTGACAGCCTGGTCAGCTCGTAACTTAGTATTCCCTCTCCCTCTAAGAATAGTCGCGTTTATGTAGCATGCTCCTCCATAAACATGCTTGTTCTTTGTTTCTCCTAGAACCAAGATTGTCTTTTCCCAAAATATCTCTCTTTTTTTTTATCCCATCACTTCCTCCAAAAAAAAGTCAAATCACGCTTCTCAAAATTATCAAACTTTCCGCATGAATTTCATTGGGCCCTCATCTCCTTGATCGTAATGTTTAAAAGCTCTTACTTAGATCATCTCTAATGTACATTGCTATTTTTTTCCCTTAAAATAAAAGAACTCTATAATAGAGGTGGATCTCTCTCCAATATGTTTTTCTATTTTTTCTTCTAAAAAAGAATATTATTAGAATATTATTTTTCTAATTTATTAGTAAGACCTTTTGTTTCTGAAGTTCATAAATTAACCTCATTTATTTTAATTTTTACAAAAACTTTCATAAAATTATAATAATATTAAAATTAAATATTTTTTATACAAAAAACATCACATTACATCATATAAAATATAATATATTTTGATTTATAAAATTATCTAGAACTAAATTTGAAATAAAATAGTTCATATTTAATTATATTATATATTTTCAAAATTTTATATTATATATTTAGTTATATTATACGATGATTGTTCACTAAATATATAAAAGTAATTCATATAAATAATTAATTAAATTTCTATATTTGTTATGCAAATAAAATAAAAAGATTTAAAAGTTGAAAGACTAATTTACAAATATAAAAGTTAATCTCTATTATAGATGAAGAAATAGAATTCCTCCCAATATAGAGGAAAAAATAACATTCTCTATTTTAGAAGAAAAAATAGAAGTGAATTAGAGAGAATTTTCTACCAAACTCTATTTTTTCTTCTAAAATAGAGCTAGATTGGAGATGGTTTTAATATCTCCAACTAAACATAGCCGTCTCTAAACACTATCTCATCAACTTATTCAGAACACATCTAGAAAAATATTTGTGACCATCCCAATTGACACAAAAATAGGTTTAAGCAAAATCTATGTATACCATCAAATTAAAAAAATTTGTGTTTTGAATTGGTCGTATCTCTAGAAATTTAGCATGTGTCTAATTTTTTGTTAATTTAAATATGTTTTTATTGCATGTTAATTAATGTCCCAATAATCAAAACATATATAATAGTAATAAATTGACAAAGCGAGAAGGAGGAGAATTATAACTAATAGTATTTTCCTTCGATTCCTTGATTAGTTTCCAAGAAATTTAATATCAGGTGCGGGAAAGTGACTAGGAAACGCTAACATACACCTTTTCTCAGAGATAAATATCAAAAGAGGTGTTTAAATCTCCATGCTTATCTCCCCTAGATTCGCTCTCTGATCTCCATTTTTACTTTATCATTTCTCTAATTCTGATTTATGCAGATCTTCTCGGGAATAATCTGAATTTTTCCCTTTCGTTAATATTTATTTTTGTTTATTTAATTGTTATTTAAACGGTTCGTTACTATTTTCTTGTTGATTCCTCTCTCTCTCTCTCTCTGACGAAAATCATTTTCTCGCTTGTTTCTATGTTTAACTCGTTTCCGGTTTTCTCAATCTTAATTGGTTAGGGTTCTTAAAATCTCTCCATTTGCATCTCTTAGGTTTTTCTTTTCAGCTTCTCCAATTCGATTTTTTCCCCTTGTTTTCATTTAAGAGCTCTAGTTCGCCAATTTCTATAGAGAATTCTTTTGCAATCACTGGGGTTTTGTTTTCTGTGGGTTTCTTATTTTATTTTTGACACAATCGAAGCAGAAAATTTCGCTGTTTGTTTTTTCTTTCCTTTGACACAATCGGAGCTGAAGTTTTTGCTATTGGGGTTTTTCGAGACTCAGTAAGGTACACAAGTTCTTCGTTGGCTTTAATTAAGATTATCGAATTCATGGTACACTGTGATTATCTAAGCGTCGTCTCGCATTTACTTCGAAACTTATGAACTATATGAAATTGATGAACTGTAAAGTGACTGAAGAACACTATTCTCAAATTTGCTGTTTCTACTTTGTAGATTGCGGAATTATTTAGCTAGAGATTCTGATTTTACAGCATATTTACAGACACGATCTTATGATCTATGAATTGATGAGCTATAGTGACGAATAACAACACTATGCTTGAATTTGCCGTTTCTACTTTTGGTGATTGCAGAATTATTTAAATTTTGCTATCTCGAAGTTCTGATTTTCCATCATAATTACAAATTGATGAACTAAAGTGACTGTAGAACAATTATCTTGAATTTGATGCTGCACGAAAGGAGTCTCTAGTTTTTGGCCCAAAAAAAAATAATTAGTCTCTAGTTTCTACTTTTGTGAATTGCTTAATTATTTAGATCTTGCTAGCTAGAAATTCTAATTTTTCCCAACATTATTCTTGAATTTTCTGTTACATTTTCTTCGAATCTTATGAACTATATAAGAATGATGAACTGTATAGTGACGGAATAACACTATTCTTGAATTTGTTGTTGCTGCTTTTGTGGATTGCTGAATAACTTAGATTTTGTTAGCTAGAAATTCTGATTTCCATCATTTTATGAGCTATATAAATTGATGAACAGTAGTGACTCTTCACTATTCTTGAATTTGCTGTGTTTCTACTTTGTGGCTTTCTGAATTCTTTAGCACAATCTTATGGGTTATAAATCGATGAGCTATATTTTTATTGTACAACACTATTCTTAGAATTTTCTGTTGCTACTTTTGTGGGTTGGTCAATTGTATAGATTTTGCTAGCTAGAAATCATGATTTTTCACCATCTTATGAGCTATATAACAGTAGTGACTGAAGAACGACACTTTTCTTGAATTTGCTGTGTTTCTTTTGTAGATTTCTGAATTGGTTAACACAATTTTATGGGTTAAGAATTGATGTTCTATATTGTGATTGTAGAACGCCATTCTTGAATCTGCTGTTTCTACTTTTGTGGATTGGTTAATTATTCAGCTCGAGATACTGATTCTTTTGTTCTTGTTTAGCATATTTACAGACACAATCAGAGAAGAGGAAGTGTTAGAATGATAGATGAAACTAACACAGGATGGGTAAAGTTCGCCATGATTCTGGATCAGGCGAAGATTTTGCAATAGAGAAATCATTTCACAAAGGCCCTTGGACATCAGCAGAAGACCAACTTCTTATAGCTTATGTTGACAAACATGGTGATGGAAACTGGAACGCTGTTCAAAAGCACTCTGGTCTTTCTCGTTGTGGTAAAAGCTGCCGCCTTCGTTGGGTGAATCACCTGAGACCGGATTTGAAAAAAGGCGCTTTTACAGAGAAGGAAGAGCAGCGTGTCATCGAGCTTCATGCTTCAATGGGTAACAAGTGGGCAAGAATGGCTGCAGAAGTATGTTAAACTCTCTGTGTTCTTTATATTCTCTGTTTTCTTACGGTATGTTCTAATCTTGTTTTCCTGTTTTCAGCTACCGGGGCGAACGGATAATGAGATAAAGAACTTCTGGAACACGAGGCTTAAGAGACTACAGCGACTTGGCTTACCTATTTACCCTGATGAAGTTCGGGAGCAAGCGATGAATGCAGCAGCTCATAGCGGTCAAAATACTGATTCAATGGATGGTCATCATAGTCAAGAATCAATGGAGCCAGACAGTCTTGAGATCCCTGAAGTGGATTTCAAGTACTTACAACTCAATAGCTGCTCCTCGTACTACCAGTCTATGCTTCGCAGTGTTCCCACGGGCAACCTCATGAGACAGAGACCTTGTTTCTTTCAGCCTAATAATATGCACAACTTGATAGGATCTCCTTACACGCCTAACCGGAAACGCTTTAGGGAACCAGAAACCGCGTTTCCTTACACGGGTGGTTACGCCACCAACGAGCAATGGAACTATCCTTTAATCGACAGCAATCAGGACCAGTTCAACGTTGTTCTACCGGATAGCCATTCGCTCGGCGATAATGCTACGTATTCTTCTTCTTCTGGGCCTCTCATTCACGACGGGGTCGAGAAGTTGGAGCTCCCTTCATTCCAATGTTTTGATTCTCAAGAAGAGCCTGGCGATTGGGGAACACAACACTCTAACCCAATGCCGGCACTTGAGGCAGACAGTACTTTGGTCCTGTCCCCTCCTACAGATCAGACACCATCAGATTGTCCATCATCATTCTGTGATGGATTGTTGGAATCAGTTGTCTATGGATCATCAGGGGAAAAACAGGCAACAATCACTGATTCAGATTCACCACTGTTTCACTCCTCATTACTTAGCCATTCTGAGCTTACACAAGCCACTTCAAACACAACAGGTAAAAAATATTACTCTTTGGGTATTACAGTCACTTTTATTGTTTGCTTATTCTCTGAATAGAACTCCTCATTCTCTATCTGCAGGACACAACTCCAATTTTGAAACAGATTTGGTTCATTTTGGTCCAACTTCCTCAAATGAGAGACGCACATCCTTTGAGGGCTGCGATTGGATAAGACAACTTCTTGGTGATGATAAGGATTACTACACCAAGTAGAAGAGGATTCTCTGCGATCCCCCCTCGTGTGATCTCTGACTTACTCTGAGTAGATTAGTAGTCATGTCTTTAGATATAATCAGGAGTTCAGGACTGGCTACCAAAAATAATGAGAGATGAGTTTTTTTTCCTCCTGTGCTTTATAAGCACAGTTTTGATTTGTTAAGTATACCAAGCAACACATCATGAAGATCTAAGAATTTTGAGCAAGCGGCCTGATGATCATGCTAAGTTATTTTGGATCATGTGATAGATTTTCATAGCTGCATACAAATATTATGCGCAAGAGAAGATATTACACCATGAAAAAGCTTGGCGACAAACAAATCTCATCCAAATCCAAATCAAAACATCAGATCATAATGCCCAAGTTATTTTGTTTGTCACTCCTGTAACACTAGTCACCTCGTCCTTGTAAAGCACAGTAAGACCATCTACATCGAGTAGGAGATAATTACACTATTTTGGCAACAGTATTTTGGGAGTTTCAATTGTGGACGTAAGAGCATGATTATAGGAAAGCCTACGTGAGGAGAAGCTTTTTGTCTTTTTTATTATTAAAATAATTGATTTTTTTTTCTAAAAACGATTTTCAAAAAAAAGAAAAAAAATATTTAACCAATCAAGTCACGTTACATCACAGAGCATCACAGAGAGGTGTTCTTTCAAGGTCTGCGCAGAGAGGTGTTCCTGCTTCCAAGTTTTACCAATAATCATACTCTAACTATTTTTTAACTTATTTTTTACTAGCGGGAGATATTTACGGAAAGTGAAGTTGTAAAAATATTTTATTGGAGACGCATTATCACCGCAGTAGAAGAAATTTTATTTCGACAAACGGAGAGGCGGCAGATAGTTAGAGTTTGCAATTGAAGAAGACCTTGTTTTGTTATTCAGTGATATAACGATGGTGTCTCTTAGGCGTCTCTTAGGCGTTTGTTAGTTTGTGGTGATTCAGAGATCTGAAAGGTTGAACCGGCTGTACTCGCTCGAGGTTTTTGTCGGTGTTCTAGATTATGGACGTTTGAGAGTCCATGCTATAGATTTGAAGGCCGACAATGGAAGATAGGCGTTTTTAATTTTTTTTCCAAACTAAATCTTACTTTTTGAGAGTTTTTGAGTTCGCGTACATATTTAGTTGTCTATTCTTAGTGGTATAATCTTTAAAATGTGATTGTTGTTGTTGCAAGATCAGATCTATAACAGACGTGGGATAATAAATTGTCTGTCTAATTGTTCGCTACGGATAGGTTTCCAAATGCATGGCTAAATGTGTACTCGAAGCCGGACATTTTGACGACTATACATCACATCTTGGAAGGGAGTGGTGAGTGGGAAGCTCTTAAGATGTCTTGCTTTGAGAGACTTTTCGATATATCGGCGGACGATGCTGGTTTCAGAAAAGCTTGTCCACATGTTTGTTGTGCAGACAACTGCTTACGAACAAAAAGTATGAGATGTGGATGGTTGTCGGTGGACACTCGTTCCGATTTGGACTTCTTGAATTTGGCGCATTGACGAGACTACCTTGCGGAGAGTTTCCTGATGAGTACTATCCAAAGTTCCCTCCTTTCAACTATCGGTGGATACCTCAAGAGGCATGGCATGAGATTATATCTGATGTTTCTACAACGACGATAGCGGATTTGGTTATAAAACTAAGCACCCATGTTAACTTGACATTTCGACGTAGACTGCAATTAGCGCTCATCTGCATTTTGGATGGGGTTCTCATCGCGAATACGCAGCTACATAGGCCAAGTCCATGGTACGTCAGGATAGTGCACGATCTCGAGGGATTCCTTGAGTTCCCATGGGGGAGCGAGTCTTTTTCCCGGTATTGGGATGATGATACCTGAAATCACAATGCAGGACAAACGGGAGAAAGCGGTTGCGACTTTCAGACAAAAATTAAGTTCTGGTTCAATGCGGATTTGCACTGGCTCTGCAATTGTTGTCTTTCGAACTCGTTCACGTGCTATTTGCGAAGCTGAAATATAGTGGTGAATACCCGACATTGCTCGACCATCCAGATGAACCTATAACAAAACATTGGTCCCTCATTTTGGAAGTCGTTCACTTAGCAAAGATAGATCCGAATGCACATTGTATTAGCGGTTGAAAGAGCTATGATAGTAAATAATTCGTAAACACAAAGTGATGTTTTTCTTGCAGCTGGTTATATGTCCAATTCTCTATGTTAATCCGAATGAGGAAGAAAGATGGGGGAAGTGGGATGATGAAAGCAAGGATAGGTGTGTGAAGTACTTGGTGGGGAAGATAAAAAGCGGTCATGTTTTCAGCAAGAAAGAGTGTTCCAGCGGTAATGCTAGTTTCTCTTTGATCAAGGTGAAGAAAATTCCTCAGAAAATAGAACATGCCAGACACATAATAAACCGCAACAAGGCCGAGGGGAAGAAGGTGTAGTCGCAGGTCGCTCCGTCCAAGCCTATGAAGAACTCTAGAGGGAAAAAGAAGAAGGTGGCAGAAGATGTTGCAGCGGTGGCCCTAATAAACGAGGCCGGATTAAAATAATGGGTGGTGGGGCAGATAGAAGGGCTCGCAGATAAGGTGAAGGCAGCTTCTGAGAGGCAAACAAGGCTGGAGGAGCAATTGTCGAATGGTGGAAAAGTTGGTCATCAAAGTCGACAGTCGTCTTGTGATAAAAGACAACCTGGCGTAGAGGCCCATCCTTGTTCACCGCCGGCTTGCCCCTCACCCATTCACATTGTTAGCCTCAAAGGCAACGACAGTTGCCCTCTGTGATGGACAACTCTGGATAGAGAATGCAGCTCGGAAGGCGCTAGCAAATCTCCGAGGGATATGGTAAAAACTCAAAATGTTTTTGTTTGAGCCGTTTGGAAATTATACCTCTTGAACTCTATGTAAAAGATTGGGCGCTTAATGAAATATGTGGATAGTTTATAGTTGATAGGATTAAACATTGTTGCATTGTGTAGAGTGTATATGGTTTAGATTAGGTATACAGAGAGTAGTGTGGACAGCGAGGAGTGAACATTTTTAAAGCAGTATAAGTTTGGGTGTAGAGTGGGATTTAATATATATTTTTGTTAATGCAGGTGAATAATGGGATGAGTCCCGATGAGATTGTTTCGAATGTGCTGAAAGACATCCACGATGGCGAAGCAGCCAGTGCGCCGGAGGGAGTGTCTCAGGTGTGTGGGGAGAAACATCAGGGGGTGCCCCATTGTAAGTATTTGAGGTGGAGCCATAGCTACAGATAATATTGTGAGGTACCAATACTAACCGTTATTGGTTATCTATAGAGTCTGGAAGCGAAGTGATATATCATGTTTTTTTTTATTGTTTTTAGCCATCATATAAGTCTTTTTAATTGAGTCTTTTTGATCTTTATAGAGTCTCATTAGAGTCTTTACAGGTTAATGGGTGTTTGGAGCATAATTAGAGATTCTGGAGCATTATGGAGCAAAACAAGAGTTCTTCCCGCTGAGAGCAACAAGAAGACGTGGTTATTCCATGGTGACGATCATCACTACTTGCTGGGTGACGCTCATCACCTTTTACTGAAGGAAGCATCGCGGACTAATTAAAAGTTAAAGGTAGAATTCAGTTTTGGTCCAGAAGTTTTATTAATTGTAAAATGGCCCCAATTCGTTTTCAGCCTATATTTTCAGCAATAGTTTTATTTAGGTGAAACTTTGAGCCTATCAAGTTTTTAGCGCCATTGCCTTGGACTTAATTGTTGCCTTCAGATTTTAAGTTTAAGAATGTTGCTCCACTGGTGCTGATTCAAGGTGAAGATGGTCTGATGTATGATGCAGAGGGTAACAGGCGAAATGAAGAAGGGTAGCAACTTGCTAATGATGGGATTGTGATAGTCGAGCAAGCAGTGTTACCAATGCAGAATCAGCAGCCTGCACTCGCAGGAAATGGCGCAGGAAACATTGCTCGGCATTTTCTTCAGCGCACTCTGGGAGATTACAATAGACCTGATCAATTTTATGCTAATAGAGCTGCAATCCGCCCTCCTGTCTCCGAGAGGAATGACTTTAAGCTGAAGCCTACCTACTACACACTTGTTGCTCAACATCCTTTCTATGGTCTTCCTCAGGAGCACCCAATGGACCACATTGAGAGGTTCGAGGATCTGGTGACAAGCATCAAGGCTAATGGAGTCAGCAATGACTACCTTCTCTGCAACATGTTCCCATACTCTATTGGTGGAGATGCAGCTTATTGGCTGAAACAGTTGCAGCCTGGATCACTGACCACTTGGGAAGACACCAAGAACACCTTCCTCAATAATTGTTAAGATGATGCAAGGTCTGAGAAACTAAGAACGAAAATCTCCTCCTTCTCTCAAGGACCAACTTAAGCTTTCAAGACTGTATGGTTGAGGTTCAGACCGTATCAGAGGGATTGTCCACATCATTGGTTCAGTGAAGTGCAGCTGCTTGGTATCTTCTTCAGAGGCGTGGACTGGAGATATCAGATGGCTCTAGAAGCTGCAAGCAATGGAAACTTCAACAGTAGGTATTCAGAAGATGCTTATGTGCTGATTAAAAACTTGGCATCTAGCAATTGTACCAAGAATGCAGATTTAAAGAGGAAGAAGCAAGCTGGAAACGAGATAAAAGTCATATAGCTGAGGTTACTGCTAAGTTGGATTCCATGCACAACCCTCTTTTGGGTAAGAAACCAGCTGATTAATTTGAGGAAGAAACTGTTAATTTCATTAATGGAGTTGGTTTTCAAGGTCAGAGTTTCGGCAATCAACAAAGATATGGCTCCTCTTACCAAAAGCATTTCCAGAGCAACAAATTCACTAGAACTTATGGTTCTTCCTCCTATCAAAATCAACCTACTCCATGAGTAGATAGTAAAAGTGGAATCTATGCTGGAACAGCTCTTGGAGGGGCAGCAGAAGATGACTGTGGATTTCAATGGAAAGATGGATTCAGTGTACCAGGACTTGAATGGGAAGATTGAGAGTTTGAACACTCATGTGAAGAATCTGGATATTTAAGTTGCTCAAACTGCATGAGCTGTTCAAAGGCCAGAAGGATTCCTTCCTAGATACACTGACACTAATCCAAGACATCATGTTAATGCCATCACAGTCAGAAGAGGAAAATAGCTTAATTCAGTGCAGAAAAAGAGGCACAATGTACTTACCTTTGTCAAGCCCCCTGGAGATTTGACATAATCTTCGAGGATGATGGTAACAATCTCTGATATGTGTAGGGGAGATCGTGCAACTGATGGAGTTTACAGATGAATATTTTGCAGGCTCAAAGGGAGTGATGAGCGTCACCCAAGAGGAGTGTCGCTCGTCATCCAACTTACAAAGGTAAAAATTGCGTTCTGACGGAGTGGTGACGAGTAAGGTCATTACCCAGGGGTCGTCACCAGGTAGTAACAAGCGTCACCCCCTTGGTGACGAGCGTCACCCAACCAAGAACGAAGCTGCTTCGCTTGTAACAGCAGCTAATGGCAAGGAACA